ACTCATCACAAAATCTAAAACAACACTATTTCCATGGTTTGTTTCCACCACAAACTCCGATTCATTATTTAGTACATTTGATAAAGTCTGAGTCATCATAGATTCCATTGCAGTGAAGCTAGGCCCAGTTGCAAGTGACACTGAGTAGGCTTATATTTGCACGTTTAAATTTCATTAAGTTTCCTGTTATGCTTACTGTCATGGGGTAGGGTCCCTGGAGACAGTAGTGATGCCCCTAGGGCCCTGTGACCATGCCAGCTTTGTCCCGCGAGCGCCCTCTAGTCTCACCTGCCATGCTTTGTTGGTTAAGATAGTAAAAGGCTGCCCTCAAGTTGCTACGCAGTCACAGTCCTGATGAAGCCCATTAAACCCTTAGGGTTTTTAGACCCCTTGCTGGGTCCCGTTCTCAGCAGGTGACTTGCGAGGCAACCCAAGCCTTATGGGCTAGATGTGTGGCTCCAAAACCACCCCTTTACCATGCTCCATGCCTCACAGATGGTATTTAGACGTTGTCTCTAGTGATGAAGCCTCAGTTTAGTTTGGTCTCTTGCTGTCACCAGACCCTTAGCCTCTGTACCCACACCCTCTGGTGCTGGGGTCTCCTCAACCCTGTCGCTGCACCCTCTGGTGCTGGGGCTCTGCGCAGTAGTGTGCTCCAGTGAGGCCTCCTCCTCCCCAAGAGCCTCAATCCAGCCCACAGGATTAAACAACAAGAACATGAGCCCCTGGGTAATAATACCAATGACATTGGAGGCCACACTCTGCACCTTTAAAAGGGCCAGTTTCCCCCTTAGCAATTGGTGCCTCCTATCCCCAGGCATTTTAGGAGCTCCTGGAGCTCCTTAGTCTCCCCAGCAGCTGGAGAGGCAGCCCAGCATCATGTGGAGCTTTTCTGCATGAACTCCTTCCCCCCTCCCCCTGGCTGCTACCGGAGAACTGACCACCTCCAGCCCTAGCCCTTGGGCTTACATGTGCCCAGGGCCCTGTCTCCTGCTTGCCAGCTGACCAGGTGCAGGTGCAGGCTAATTCCCTCATTAGCCCATTGCCATGGCAACCTGCACCTGTGAGGTTTCTGCCTGGCTCTTATGGCCCTCTCTCTAGGCAGTTTCTGCCCTTAATGGAGCAGGCATACCCTGGTGCTCTGCAACACTTACTTTTCACTGAAACCATGTAAAACTTAACAGCTGCACTGCCAGGCTTTGCCAGAGTTTATTGAAACCCAAACCTCAGAAAGAAGATAGGACAGGGTGGCACCTTAGAGACTTCCAGAGAAGCATGAGCTTTTGTAGGCAACAGCCTACTTTGTCAGATGCTATGGACATCTGAGACAATCTCAGGCCAAAAAAATCCCCCTTGAAACAATGCTAAAGAGATTTTAAAAAAAGAAGGCGGGGGGAAGGGTTCCCCACACAAAGCCACATTAACAGAATTTGCAGCCTTTCATTCTTTATTTTTTCGGAGGTTGATCAGACACATCTCATTATACTGGGCCAAACTCAAACCTGGGTACTGGTAACTCTAAATAGAACTGGTTGAAAAACTTTTGGTGAATAATTTTCTTTTGAAAGAGAGGGTTACTTACTCTGGAATCAAAACATTGTGTATGGATGCATTCATTATAGTGACCTACAAGGTTCTTTGGGTTAATTACAGTGATATTTTTGAAGGCAAGGGAAAATCAATGTTTCATTTTCATAAATATGCAAAAGATTTAATTGTTTTTGTTACAAGTTGTTTGTTTTAATATTATTTAGACATTATTTCATTACAACATTGTATTATGTATCCTATTTAATAAATTAATATAGAAGAATTAAGACATGTTAATACAGGGACTTAATGGTCCAGGATCAATATTTTCGTTTTGCAGGATTTTTTTTTTAATTCAACCCTTCTTCAATAAGGGGAAACAAAGACAAGGGAAGCAGGATATATCAAGAGCTAGAACACATATCTTACAGCTGGATTTATTAAAAAAGATCACTTCACCTGTATGGAAGCAGACTGACTTCCACAGAGCTCCATAGGATTGTAAAGAGACTGTTGAAAAAACCTGACTGCAGGTCAGGCCTTGCTATTTTTCTTCTGACTTGCATATACTTTCTAGCATTATCCTTTTCAGAGCCCATGCAAATATCATTAATACCAGACTATTAAACCCTTTATATACAAATAAGCAAACAAAAAGAATTCCAAATACCACTGCTGAGACTTGTAAAAGACGTTTCTGTTTTGTTAAGATTTGGCAGAAAAAGAGTTAATGCCTGAGAATTAGCTTCTCTAGGGAGTTCTTGGATTGTGCCACTATGTCTGCTGCCAGGTAGAAAGTTTCAGGTGGTGATTTTAATTCATAAACTAGTATTTAAAAACAAACATTGTTTTCCTTGGTTGTAGCTACATTTACAGATGTTTTTGTAGGAGGATTATAGATGACCATGTTCTCAAACAAATTATCCATTAGTTTCCTAAAAGCAATTTTTTGATAGTCTATGAACATGAGGTACGGCTCCGATACTGACCAGACTTTCTTTGCCAACAGAAAACATCTTTACATCCCTTCCCTCAGGAGCACATGGAACATCCTCATTTGCAGGTAAGACATAAATAGTAGTTTCTTATGAAAGTTTTGGGATAGCGAGGTAAATATTTTGTGCTATAAATGTACTTAATCATCCCCTTTAGCTATGATAAAGTTACGTGAAAAGTTAGTGAAGCCTTTGCAATGTAATAGACAAGTTTAAGAATTTGTTCTTCTGTGTGTGTTGCCCAGAGCGATTTTAGATACTTCAGATGGTAAAACTGGTTTACATGTCTTTAAAGGGGAAAAGTTAGAATTTCTCTTCAGCTGTTCTTGCTACTTAAGCATATTCAGAATGGGGAAGAAAGAAGAATCTGACCTTAATGCAAAGGAAAGAGGTGGTCAATTTGAATGTGGCCAAAAAGAAATAGTGGTAATAAGATAAGAGATCCCAGGTAGCAACATCCCTATGCTTTGTGATGCCGAAAAAATTGAAAATACAAGTTGAAATTGTTATATGCAGAGTGTGGTTACATGCAGACAGTCACTTGTTATGCATTTGGGGTCCAATTCTACAAATATTTATTTATCCATCATCCTTCTTGAATGGTCTTATTCAGACCTGTGTACTCTGTATACCATTTGGTTATGGGCTCAGCAGAAGAGCAGGTACTTCGACATTTGGCAGCCTATTGAATGCAATACAGGAAAATTGATGCTTACAAGATCTGAGCAAAATTTAGATCACCTCCATACATGTTTAAGCCCAAATTCTGCAGTTTTTTTACTGCACAAACCTGCAAAGATCCCCAGTTAAATCAAAGGAGCTTGTCTGGTCACTGAGGTCCACACACCTGGAATAACTTGCAGGACTGAGGATATAACTGCTAATTCTTTTTGAAAAGTAAAGAGAATTGTTGACTGTACATAAACTGTGTAAGGTCATAAAGACTTGAGAAAATACAGTGGTTCTGAGGCTACAGGCCTGATTCTGAGCCACTTATTCATATTCCACAAATACACCTATATATTTTAATGGAGAACAAGATGCTCTTCTGTGAAGTGGTGGAATCTAGACTGATGCAGAAAATTGATTATGAACCAGCTCATTTGCTCTTTCTTTCTTCATAAGGTTTTGATTTCTACAAATTTTGCTTTCTGGAAAGAACAGCAATGAAGAGTGAAAGAAGAGCACTTGGCATTGTCACATGCCAGTCCTATAAAACAAAATAGATACACAATGGGTGCGTCTACATGAGACACTACTGCGCAGTGGTTACTGCACATTTATTTAGTACTTGTATAATCAAGTACTAAACAAACACGCAGTAACCAGAGTTACTGCACAGTAGTGCCAGCAAACACCTTTTTAGTGATGCTACTGCGCAGTGGCCTAATAATACTGCGCAGTAGCATACTTGTACTGTTTGTGCTGTGACACACTACTGTGCAGTATTATTCAGCAACTGCCCAATTAGTGTCTCATGTAGACACACCCAATGTATAGCAAAATGCTGTTCTCAATGGAATTCTGATACAGATCTTCATGTTCATGAGATTGTTAATCAGGTGGCTTTTGTGCTTGGGCACAGGAAAATTGAGGCAACAGTTATCCCAGGGATGTATGGTCCCAATATTATTTGTTAAAGTGTCAGGGAAACATCTTCGTTTACAGAAGATACCTGATTGAAATCCATGTGACTATAAACAGTAACCGGATTCAGTAACTAAGACCCCAGTTTAGCTACTGGCTTCATGTAAGGGGACCTGAACTAAGCTGCATTAAACTTCAGTAGAGCTCTGAATACACATACACTACGCTGACCCCCTTTGTGGGACCAAGGGATATTATGCTGCAAGATTTATACCAACTGTAAACCTGTAGTTCACACAAGTGTTAGTATTAAAGCAACATGAAAGCATCCCATATATTCTGATGCTGTTAGATACAACCTGAGGAATTTCCTTGAACCCATCTTTAAGGATAGATCACAACCCCACTCATAAAACATAGTAATACTATACTAAAATATAGTATAGTAAAATGATAGAGTTTTTGCCTATCTTTTCCCCATCTGACATGTAAGCCTTTAATTGTAAACAGATATAATATCTAAAGCTGTTTAACAATACTCATATCCAGCAGGAAATTAGGGAATCAAACAGATGTTCAAAAAAATCAAGTGCCAGCTGCTATGTGAAAGACAGGGACTTGAAGAATTGTAAAGCACTGACTCCAGCCACTTTCTATTACAGATTTACATTTTATAAAGCCAGGCCTTCTTCAGGTTCAAGTATAAGGAGGAAAACTGATGTAAGCTGAATTCTTGATATCACTAAACTTAGAGAAGAAGACCAGTTAAAGGTTCTGTCAATCCAAAGACAGTTTCCTCCATTCATCATCAATAGTTAGTGGGTTTCCACAACATATATAAAAAAAAAAATTAAAGGATTGATTGGAAAGGAGAGAGCCACCCACTTCTGGTTGCTAGATCATGGAAATATTTTAAAAAGATATTTATAAGCATAGAAATAAATCCAGCCTGTGTGTCAAATATTTATAACAAGCCTGAATAAGAGGAAGACTCTGTTGGCCTCAAGTGATACAAGTAGCTATTTTCCCTTAGAAAGCTGTGGTGAAACCATCTTCTAGGCTCATCATTATTCTGTGTTTATTCACAGATACGCAATAGTTTGATCTAACAGGACAAAAGTGGCAGATTCATGATCCTGAGGTCCAGCCCTCTGAATGACTAAAGATGGTATGTGTTTGAAAAAGACACCAAGAAGCTCTACTGGCTCCGAAAAACTCATCTAAAGTCCAAAAGAAAAAAAAATCAACATGTTCAGAAAACAGCTTCAAACTTTCAGCTTATGTCCATCAAACAGAATCATGGGAACATTTTAAAAGAAACTTTTTCCTTCTTCTGGCAATGTCAGCATTTTCCAGGAGATTTGCTATTAAAATGCTGACTTGTCCTCTGCACATCTGTGCTGGAGAAATGGCTCTTACTAAGCCCACGAAGTGAGGAAATGTTTCTGTTGGGAGTAGTAGCAGAAGTGCTGCTGGTTCTGGGGTTGGTGTGGGAGTCGGATTCGCTTTGCTCACCCACTGCTTTTTACAAAAACTGTTGGATCCGACGCTTCCCAGGTTTGCTGATTGATCTGGAGGAATCTCAGAAATGGGGAGCTCAGGTTCTGAAGATTTACACAGAAATCACAGCCCAACAGTGCAGCAGAGCCTGCTGCCTTCTGAAGAATGGTAAGTGTCTATTATCTGCTTTTGTTCAGATCCCAGAAGTGTATACTAAAATTACTGCACATGAGGAAATTTGGGTTTTTAGGATTTTTAGACATTGCCTTATCTTTCCAAAGAACAAATACATTTTTGAGGTGGGAAAGCCAGGATACATCCTAATTATTTCCCTCCCGAGTCCCTCCTTTGCCTCCATAGAAGTAACTTTGACTGTGTGAACTTTTAGGAAGAACAAATTAGAAAAAATGATTAAATTATTAGAAAATATTCTTAGTGTCTGGCTTTGATAAACCTTTGAAGTTTGATTAAATGGAAGAATTCTGTTTCCCAGTACAAAATTTGTTTCCGGGGTGCATGTTAATAATATTACTATTTAAGTAACAACCTCTCAGTATTTTTGGGAGTAGTTCCCCTCAGGTTAAGTAGAACATTACACTGAAAGTTGGACCATCAATGTCAGTGGGTCTACTCATGGAATAAGCTATATGCAGCCTGGATATGGGTGAAAGAATCTGGCTTTCTGGGCATGCCTACACATGCTACTAAGGCAAAGCAATAAACTCTGGTGCATATTGCAATGGAATTTATTGCTCCCACATGCTACATTTACAGCCTGGGACCTCAATATATCGAGCTGGGTAAAAGCAGCCTGGCTGACAGGGGGACCAGGGGGTTAGTCTGCTAGCCCGGGGCTGCTCTGACCCAGCTCAACATGCTGCAGAGGGGCTGGCTGGGGCATGAGGGTGCTTCATTGTGGGGCTAGCTAGTAGGCAGTCCCTGAACTGAAGCACCTTCATACCCCAGCCAGCCCTGTCAGCATCTACACATGTATTGCAGCAGAGTAAAGAACACCACAGGATAGTACTTGTAAATGCAAGTGGTGGAGTTAATTACTTTACTCCATCCTAATAGCACTACATGTGTAGATGGTGATATTTTACTGTGGAGCAGCAAATGTTCTGTGTAGATGTGCCCTCTGAGGCAGATTAACAAGACTGAATTCCATGAGGAAGGGACCGCATTTTTGTTTGATGTTTGTACTATATTTCTGGTGTGCAATTGGGGCTCATTTGTGCTACCACAATACCGATAATAAATGGTATTAAATTTAAGCAAGTGAGAAAAGTTGGCCAAGGCACATTAAAAAGAAAAAAACCCAAAAAACAAAACATAAACCTTGGAGATGAAATCAGATCTCAGGAACTCCTAGTTCTTAGCTTTAAACCACAAAACTATACTGCTTCTCTGTACCGCTGCAGAAAGTAGAGGACTTTATAAAGGGATTCTGGAGTGTTCAAATTTGATCCTAAAGCTGCAGTGCACTTTAAGTTTATCTTGTGCAGAATGACATCTGACTCTGGATAATAACACTACAAGCAACCCTGACATTGTGAGGAAGTTTTGGATAAGTTTCATCAACCTCCAACACAGATTGAGAGAGCTTACGTATTAATTATCAATATTGTGCAAAGAGTCAAGATGTGCCTTAGCATATATAATTACTACATGTTCTTATAGAAATATAGCAAAATCTTTATTCAGTATAGGAATATTTTGTTTATTTAGCTTACGGTTTTTATATCCAACAAGAAATTTCTACTAATATATAACATTTATCCTGGAAAGGAAATCAATGTGTCAGGAAATCAATAAAGGTGTTTATAATTTTTCATTACAAAGTCACAGGTTCAGCTATATCTCTGTAACATCATTAACAAAAGTTTATAACTTTGAATGGCATTACAGTGACTTGCATGCAATAAGATAGTGATTTCAATTCAATTCCCAGGAGACAAAAGTAGCCAGTACCAGAACTACTGCTATAAATCCCAATATAACTGTTTGATCAAACAGACAAGGTTTTAATGGCATACAGACCAAAAAGTGAGTCTTTATAGACACTGGCATTATGCACAGATAAATTAGCTCCACTGATGCACGGGGGGGGTGTGTGTGTGTGTGTGTGTGTGTGTGTGTGTCAGGGGGGAGGGTTCTTTTCTTTTTTGTTATATAAGGAGGTTAGCTATTTCAGTCTGAAGTAGGCAACAGCCTTCTTTACATCTGATGAAATGCCTCTCTGAACCATGTAGTCTCTAAGGGCACTTTTACACGTGCTCCAGAGGTTGGGGGGGGAGTGCTTTAATTAGAGCGGTTCTGAGAACTGCTCTAATTAAAGTGCCACAGTGTTTTGTGTATCAGCATCCCCACACTTAAAAATGGCAGAAGAGCACTTGAACTAAAGCTTGTCAAACATTTTTAAACATGGGGGCGCTGATACACAAGATGCAGGAGGCTGCTAGAGCACAGTAATTACCAGCAGACTCAATTAATTGGACTTCCAGCACAGTGGAGCAGCCTCCACACTTGTGTACAGGTATCCTTTGGTGCTATCCCACCCTACCTAGTATGAAGAAATGCACTACAAGATGAAAAATAAATTAAAAGTAATTAAAACAAAACACATTAAAATTATCTGTTAAACTTATTATCTTCAGAACAATTAAAATATTTATATATATACTTTGGCAATTTCTATTTATTTGCTTACCAAAAAATCCTTACTCTGGCAAAAAATATTTTCTGCCTGGGGAAAAATGGGTTTATTAGCTCATTCAAACCAGTATCTTTTACCATAAGCAAAAAACCCAACAACCTAAATGGAGCATATACCAAAAAATTACATTTTTTCAAAATGAAAGTAGATTCATTTTTAGGATCTTAAAATGAAAGAATTTTGTGAAACTTCCATTTGCTGTACAATCATTAGAAACTTCAACACCATTTAAAAGGAAACGTAAAAAAAAAGTTGCATTGGCTCCTGATAAGAGGCCTGCTTCTGAAACCTTTCACAGATAAAGACTTGCTTTGAAATACCATGTGTACTCCTATTCATAAGTATTGTGTGTTCTTAAATAATATTTGATTTAATCTATAAAGTTGCAGAGTATTTGATACATAATAGCATTACAAGAAAACAAAGGTTATTTCCACTGGATTTACCGGTGTCATAGAAAAATCTAAAGTACACCAGCTTCTAAGGGTAAGGATACAAATTACTGCCATAACTAACCAAAAATGAATATTTCAATAAGATCTGGTAAATAAAGTTGATACATGAATGCAAACATTAAATTAAATATAATTCTATAATAGATATTTGGAAAACGAAGTCTTTTTATGCTGTCTTTATGTACGGCATAAGAAATCTACAAGAGAAAATGGAAAAGCTTACCAGTACTTTTTTCTGCAGTTTTCTTAAACAGTCAGTGACTTTTAAATTCTCATATAGATGGAAACCAGTTTTCTTCATCTGACCCAGTAAGATGTGTAATGCAGAGAATGGTTCAAAATATCTACATATAAACTAAAAGTGCTTGTTTAATTCCGCCATAACCTTTTAAATAAGAACTAAAACAGTTGGGATAATACAAAGCAAATTTTTATGAAACCAGAAAGAATGGACTTTTGTCCTTCACCATTTTTATGTCAACCACACATTTTTTTTTTCTGGCACCCATCTTCTTTTTTATTAAAATGCACATTTACTAACTGCAAGATCTTTATCAGTCTGACAAATAATTGGAGACTGATGAAAGTTGACTTATGCTTGAAATAGAGTATGAAGAATGACTCCAGGCAAGGAAAAATTGCTGATTATTTTTTTTTTGATAGCATATCATGCTTCCCTTTGCCTGAATTTTCATTAGAGTTTTTAAAATACATATTTATGTGCTGACAGTCCTATCCTCATTCCAGCTGAGCAAAGAAAGATTTGGCTTAGGACTGAAAATCTTGTCTATTTCAGCAGTGACTTATAATTTGTAATAAAACAGTAATTGCATCCTTCCAGAAAGCTATTGAGTTCAGATGCTTTATGGACAAAGTGCATCCTCAGAGACACCCTGCTTTAGAAAACATCACCTCTGCTTTACAACACTTAAATCTGTTTGTTCATATCTGCAAGCCTATTTCCAAAGTGTATTTGTAATGTATTACTGGTGCATTATGAAGGTCAAATAATAGTGAATTAAGATAGAAATTATTACAAGCCTGATATTGCTATATTTTAGCAATAAACAAACATTTTCTTCTTCCCCACAGCAGATAATCAAAAAGACATTGAGAGAGTAAATAGGGAAAACATTATATGTAATTTTTTTACTCACTCTTCCTTATAGAAATGGCATTAACAGTCATTTTAAAGTTAATTCCTCAGTTAGAATGAGCATAAGAATAAGGCTGTTGAAATAAACATAAATGTAATGTAACGCATGCTACATTCTGGAGTATGGATGTTATTGTTGTGAAGGCAATGCATATGCACACTGTAGTTACCATCAATTTTGTTCTCAATCAAAAACTGCAGAGCCATTCTAGAAATGTTTGCACATTGTAAATGTCCAGCTCTGTTAAAGCATGTGATCTAAGCAGAACTATGCTGACATGTACCATAAGCATCTAATCTCTAAAGCGTGCATCCAATTCAGATTCAATAGTTATATCAGCATTTTCCGCAAGTGCTTTTCTAGCAATCATGAAAATCAGCATCACATAAATGGACACTTCCCCCCCCAATTTAATCGTAGTTTTTTGTTGTTAATCTCAGTTCTTACCTTGCAAGTACATTTTTATGCAAGGTGCCCTGCTTAGTTCAGGAATAGTTTTGTGGTGAGGGAAGATGAGAGGAGGTAAAAGAAACTTTTTTTTTAAATCACTAACAATAAGTCTACTTCTTTACTGCAGGAGAAAAGGGTAGAGCAATGTAGTCATGGAGAACTAGCTTTGGACTAGATGCTTAGCTTTTGAACATGTAATTAAATATTCTCAAAGGGAATTGGTAAAACAGCATGAAAACCTCTGTTCTAAAATGCTATTCAACTGTCCAGTATTATTACCATTGTTTCATGGTAGGCAAAAGAAATGGAAAGCAAATGTAGGGGTCATTATGTCCACAGAAGCTCAACATTTATACTTTTCTTGTTATAGATTCCTGTAACTTGGCTGTTTTCTATTATGAAACTATCCATCAGAACTTTAACTGCCTGCATATTTATTGTCCATCACTGGAGAGCTGCATAGTGCAGGCTAGAAGAAATGTCATTTTGTACAACATTACAACAGGTAACAATGTATTAAACTAAGGTGGGGGTAATTCCCTTATATCACCTAAAGAACGTGTACAATTCCTAAAAATGTCTTGAGGGCTTTTTGGCCCTATAACATATATAAGCTACCTTGTAAGTAGCATTTACTTATTTTCCCCGTTACCTTAGAGAAGTGAAAATGCACATGTCCTGCTAAGTGTAATGCTAAGAGATGTGTATTTAATGTATGCTTTGTCTTTGCTTTAATAGGGACTGATCCAGATCTTCTTGTTTTTGAGAAATTGTCTTATAAGGATCTGAATACCCGTTCTTCATTCAACAAATATGAAAGACAAAACCACTCAAAGGTCGCTGATTCAGAAAGTTGCCAGCACGATAACATCACATCAGGTTCACTTCTACCTGAATCTTCATCTTCTACCACGAGCCAAGGTTTGGTAGCAGTAAATAGTTACATCCACGGCACAAGAGGCCTGGTCCAAACACCTGAACTGTCCACAGACTCATGGACAAGATCTTCACCAGTGGCTGATCCTTTTGCTAAGGAAAAAGATGTAAGTTCAGCAAGTACAGGTTTGACAACCAGTTTGGACAAAAAGCCTGTATACTCTACCTTGATGTCTGTATCTGCTAAGCTGTTATCCCATAAACCTAGTCCCGCTCGTCTGAACAACAGTAAGCAGAACTTGAATGAAACCAAAGGTTACAGCGGCAGAAACTACACTTCAGAAAATGATGACCACAGACCTGCCTGGGTGGTAATGGCTACTGGTGCCTGGTTGATGCCTATAGTGCTTTGTTCTTCTCTCATTTTCCTTTGCTGCTGTACTGTTTTTTTGGCAGCAGGGTGCTGCAGAAGGAGGAGAGGTCACTATAGGCCGGTGCGGAGAAGAGAAGTAGAGTCTAGACAGTTTATGAAATACACCATTGTAAAAGATCGCTTGTAATACAAAATACTGGAACCGTAATAAGGAACTTATTAATGTGTATCACCCTTGTATTGAAGAAATAAGCAGCAGCTTTTCTTGGTGAAACACATCACACCACTTATTTCAAGGTGTGTTCTTAAACTGATTTCCAAATAACATTTGGCAGATGGTTTCAGCTTCTTTTGGCTGTACTGTAACTGTGTATTGTCTTCAGCAATACAGTTCTTTTTAGTAGCCAATTCTCCAAAGATCTGTAGGGCCAAATTCTTATCAGAAGTATATGACCACAACTCCGCTCAGGATTATTCTGTTTATAATTTGGCCCAGAGTAGTTTATACACAGTTATGTTAGAATCCTTTCCTAACCTCCCTCTAAAGACAACAGGTCTGACTCTTGGCTGCCGTATTTCCTAAAACTCTGGCAAAGCAAGCATAATGCATCTAACTCAGAAGAAAAGCATTTTACATCTATTATGCACAAGAAATCATGGAATACAAAAGTGTAGGGCTATAGAAAATCAGGTCTAATTGCTTTAGGATCATTCATTTCTGAATAACATTGAAAACTAAGAACACCAGAAGTCAGACTTCTGAGAAAAGGACTGGTCCTTCTTGTCAATTTCTGAGCTTCTACTTCTTAATGATTGAGGTGATGAGGCTTCTGGTTTCTTTTAGACATTTTTATTAGGATACATATCCTGATACTTTGCCTATATTTCCCTTTGCCCAGTACAGCATTTTCAAGGACCAGTGCCTTTCAGGAGACATCTTGCCCCAAGATGACTGGCTCCTTCCTGCCCTGGATGGCAAGCTGCCTCCATCCCTTTCCAAGTTAACCCTTCCCAAACCAATAAATAGCCTTTTATATAGCTAAAGCTCTTCTTCATAGTGCAAATGTCACAACACCCCAAAAATCTTCACTCTTAACAAATTGACTGAGGCTTTTAACAACACAGCAAAGTTGTTTTTTTGTCTGGGGTTACCTTTGGTTTAGTGTTTTTCTTAGCAACTTTTGCTTCTGTTCTCAGATTAAACCCTATGCTGTATTTTTTGCCTTTCCTCTAACACTAGGATTATGTGGTTTTACCAAATGCTTTGCTCATGAAGCACTGTTGCCTTCCATCACCCTACATGCAAGCTTCCAATGCACTGTAAAAAAAGCAGGTCAGTTCAAGACCTGTCATCTTGTTGCCAGGTTGACACCCTGCGGATGCTAATCTTCTTCCCCACCTCCACCACCTTTCTGCTTTGAAGTCTCTCACACTCACCTGCTCTGTCATACATCCTGAGAAATACAGTCTGATAATGGCTAGGCAGGTGGCAAACCATAATGGCTGCCTGCGATTGGCTAAGACTTGTCTACATCCTATAATTTGTGTTACTCTATATCTTCATTCTGCCTGGCTTGTTTTTACTTATCTAACCCAATTCTACCTTGTCCTTTGTACTGTAAGCTCTTTGAAGCAGGGATTATAATTTACCAGAAGTTTGTAAAGCATGTAATTCAATGAAGCTTGAAATAGAGCCTGAGGATGCCACCACGCTATATTAAATAAAAAGAACATGCCTTTTTTCCTACACTATTTGAAAATATGGCTCTTTAATGTCCAATTCAAATCTAATTACAGGACCAGTAAGGTACCAAGATACTCCCTTGCCTTACCTTACCTGGGAAGTTTGATAATCAAAGCAAACATTTTCAATGTAAGCAGATTGCTCTTCATCTTTTACATCAGCTGACGTTTCAGAGTTCATTCATTCCTTCAGTTGCTGTAAGACTAATCTGAGCTTCTTTATGCCCCAGTAAAGAAGCATAAAATACACATTAGTCCAGCAGGCATTACTATATTAAAATCATTTTCTTAAAGAAAAAAGGCTGTTTATACACATTTGTAAAACTTTTGTCTTGAAATTGGTATGATGCACTGATTAATGTTTAATAATGTGATGAGGTCTCAATTCCTCATGCACATCTAATCACAGCTGAACATGGCAGGTTGAAAGACTTGCTTATTTCAAAACTATATTTTAGCTGAATATGTTTTAGTTCTAAAACTTAGGAACCTGGCATACAACAAACCTTCGATAATGCCCATAATATTAACTGTATATAATTCAAAACAAGCAATTAGTGGGATAAATATTTTAAAAAGAGCATTTTGGAAAACTTTAGTTTGGGAGGATAAGGGATTTGGGCTATCAAATCACATGAAATGCTGCAACAGCAATTAACTCTGTTCAAACAAACATCCCATTTATATTTTTAACATTAATTTTGTTGAGGCTTATTTTGTTTTCTATTTATAAAGTGACATCAGACTTGAACATGTTGTGCATCATTGGCTGCATACTTAATGCATGAATCAGCATATGGTTTCTTTAAATGTTTATGCTACATTATCAACAAAATATGTATACTATAAACCAAACTGAAGGGCAAAGAGGCTGCAATAGTTCTTTTTAAGTTCCGGAGGCAGACAAACATGCAGATTTCATGGTTTCTCTTTAAACTCAATGGAAAGGAAATCATGGGGGGGGGGGGGCAGGGGGGAATCAAGGCTGTCAAGAGTTTAATGCATGTCACATTGCAATGAAGAACACCCTTCATCTGTACTTCAAGATCAAGAAATTCAAGAACCAGTCCCAAGAAGAACTGAATGCTTTCATCTTCAACCCTCTTCACTGGAAACTGAGGCCAGTCACTCAGCACCTAACAGGGGAGGCTTCAGATCCTGCTCCTGCAAGGTGCTATGCTCATAAACTTCACATTACATTACTACTAATTACACTAGATGTAGCTGAGGTAACACTCACTGAATTCTATGGTGGGATCTCTGGTGACCTCCCTTTTTAACAAGAAAGTCCAACGTGTGCAAATTAAAAATTGCATCATGCTATGTCACACCACTCAAATCAAAATGGAACAAGAGATCCTGGTGGAATCTGTCAAGATGTACCCTTGAATTAAAGGCAAAAATAGAAACTGCTTCATTTTACAGAATTTTACCCAGGAAGCCAAGGGTCACATCATGTTATTATGGAAGACTCTATCCTGTAGGCAGCATTTGGATGTTCTTGGCTTCCTACAGTGTGACACATGACAGCACAACAACCATATATGGTATATCAGTTGAATCAAATGCTCAGTCACATGCCCCAAAATGATAAACAATGATGGTTTTCTCTCCTAAGAAAACCAGTGGTTACCATGTTTCATCTCTGTTAAGAATACACTTGGTCTAACTAGCAACCTAATGTCCATTTGTATGAAAACTAAACTAATATTTGGGATTTTTGTCAATTTTTCAGTTTCTTAATAGTTAAAAGGCAACTTGTGCCCAGGATGAAAAGAAACATCAGTAACACAGAAAAAAAAAAGGCTATTCCTACCTTTCTGCTTATCCATTTCTTGCTGTGAATAAACAATTCCACACCATAATAAAGAAATGTTTTATGACACTTTCTTTATGATTTATCCTGTGCATGCAGTTATATGCACTGGACACAGAGGGCACTGGCAAAGAGTATGTTTTGCTGCCAAATGTGGCTCAGCAACAACTGCACTTTGAAGAACATTGACTTTTCTGGGATTAAGGTTTAAGGTAGCATAAACCTTAACCCAGATAAGTATTTCTAGGAAAACTAGATCTGCACCTGTGGAATGCCTTTCTTTAGGCTGAATGCAGTCATTCTTTCTTGAAGCTTTTTATGTTCATACTATAGCTTCAGTAGTTTGCAGCCAGAATAGCTGGTATGATACTTTGATAATTGAGAAACTGGGTGTTTCAAGCAGCAGAAACTTTATTCTCAGAGATTTTCCAATAGACTCTCAAATATAAATTTACCCTAAATACGTCACTGTCCCCTTTCTTACAGGCATGATGCCTGCAGCCATACCACCTCATGCTGTGATCTTGCTACCTAGGAAGTTGGCTTGTACAGAAGAAGTCTGGCCACTCAGTAGGAAGGATAGATGAAGAAATGAATGAGGATATCATTCATAGGATATAATTTCTCAGCAGAGCCTCCCTGGGTGACACAGAAGTTCTGAATAGGAGAATGGGAAGCATTTGGCATAAAGCCATGAAAAAAGCAGCACATGGAGACTACTTTTGCCTTCTTGCACAAAAAACACCAGGCTGGGAGTATCAGGATGAATGGCAGGCATGAGGGAAGAACAAGAGCTTCCCATGGTAGGAAAGCAGACCTTCAACCTGGGAACTGAGCTGCGGCAGCTGCATCTTTGTAATAATCACCTTTGTTAAAATGGTACCCAATGATATACTGTGTGTGTAAGTGAAGGCCTATTTCCATGAGTTCCCATAGTGGAATTTCCAAATGGCTAACATATTTTGTAATGTTATGATTGGGGGTTGGGGTTTTCCATTTGCCATAGAAAAATGTGACAAAACAGATTTTTGCCTTTAAAGGAGAAAAATCCCTGCTGTTCCCCACTATCCCATGCCGCATGGGTGCTCAACACAAGCCCCCAACCCCACCCCTACTGTATCAGTCCCGCCATGGCTGCCCCACCCACCCCAGTTCCAGCCGTTTAAGAAAAAAAAGGAGAAAAACCCCACACTCACTGTTCCTGTCGGGCAGGGGGCAATCCCCACTGCCCCCCACCATGTGGGGGGCTCTTCCACAAGCCCCCAGAAGCCCCAAGGCCACCGCAGGAGTGGTGAGTCCCAGGGTTTTTCTGTTTTTTTTTCTTAAAGGGCTGGAGCTGGGGAGGGTGGGGCAGCTGGGGGAGGGAGCTGGGGGAGTGATGGGGAGGTCAGGAGGGGAGCGTGGAGCAGTAGGGGGCAGCAGGGATCATCTCCCCCAACCTAGCAGCACCCAGTGAGCCGGGGCTTTTTTTTTAAAGCACCAGGAGCTGGGGTGGAAAGGGCAGCCATTGATAGGGCTGGGGGAGCGGGTGGGGATGGGGGCTCGCAGGGGTCCCCCCCATAGTCCCCTCCCCTCTCCTCCAGCCTCCCCTCCCCAGCCACTACTTACCATCTCCTAGTCCAGCTTCAGCTCCCTGTTGCAGCCACCAAGGACTGTCCAAATCACTGAAGCTCTCCAAACCTTTTCCAAAGATTTGGAGAGTTTTGAATTGATTTGGACCATTTAATTGGTCCCCTGATTTGATTCAGATTCACAGATTTGGCTGAATTGGGCCAAATCTCCTCCGAATTGGACCACTTGAAGCTTTGCACAGTCCTAATGTGCATGTGCACACACTCACGTGGAAGCCAGGCAGTGGTGGAGGAAAGCTCCTGCAGCTCCCTCCAGGTAAGTCTATGGGAGCTGGGGGACATATGTGATGTGGGCAGGAGGGCATGGGCAATGTGTTGGGAGGTCTGGGGGCACATGCCCCACTGGATTTCTGCACCCAGTGGGGTGTGGGGTGCAGGGCTGCAGCCTGGCCGGACCAGCTCAGGGCAGGAGCCACCTTCGTGGCTCAGCAGGCAGGACCCAGCACAGGAGGGAATGCTATACTGCCATGGCCGCCAAAGTGAGGTGCCCCCTGCCCACCTGGCAGCAGCAGGGGGCACAACTCCATGCTGCCACTGCAACCTGCCCCACCACCCAAGAATGACGCTGAACCAATTAGAACAAGTAGAGGGGGTGGGATTTAGGCTGCAAGCCCCACCAGGTCTATCTGCTTTCCCAAATGACCCCTCTGTTCATCTTAGACCGTGCTAGGGCAAGCAGGGGCGGATATGGATTCTTTCACAATGCCGATAGGCCCACTCACCACAACCCCAAGATGGCCTCATAGAAAGCGTTACCATAGAAATAGTTTTGAGGAGGAGGCCAGGTTCCTAGCCCAAAGACTGATTAAATAGCAGCTAACTAAGTCCTTTATTTGAACTCCTTTGCAGTTAGACAAAGCCTTTTTAATGACTCTGCAAAACCTACTCACCAGTACACCAGAAGGAAGTGTATGCTTCTGCAGAGAACAAAGACTGGATGAGGCTGAGGAGTTCAGAAGACAATTAGGCACTGAATCAACAGATCCTGTTACAAGTTATGAATGTAAAGTCTTCATGAAGTCTCTTGTTTGCATTTCCTTTTATGGAATAATGAAATACTGTTTGAGGAAGAGACTTTTTGACCTATGCTGGGGGTGTACATTTGACCTAGGGAGTCAAGAAGCCCACGAATATGTTACTTGGGTAGATGAAGACATAAATCAAATAATTCAGGAACTTTGCCAGGAAATGTGTCTTGATA